CGAGTAGACCGACCGACCGTGAGGAGGGCTGACCGCGAAGGGCGACCGAGTGGAGGAGAAGTCGCGGTGCGCGGGGCTCGAAGAGCGGCGGGGCACGTGGTGATATGAAGTGGAATAGACGGTGTAAGGGAAGGCCGCGAAGGGTGACCGAATAGACCGACCGACCGTGAGGAGGGATGACCGCGAAGGGCGACCGAATGGAGGAGAAGTCGCGGTGCGCGGGGCTCGAAGAGCGGCGGGGCACGTGGTGATATGAAGTGGAATAGACGGTGTAAGGGAAGGGGGCAGTGAATTGTGGTCGTACACGTGGAAGAATCCCATGGTGAGGGAGGCAATGCGTTGAACAAGAAGCGAAGGGATAGGGTAATGTAGGGCGTTGAAAATGTGAGTTTGGAAAAAAAATTTGAAAATTTTCAAACTGACGAAATTTAATCTTGACCCTTGGAATATAGGTAAACCATGGGCGTTTGGGGTTGTTCTCTTTACCTACCTTTTTGCAAAAAACCAACACGTCCCAGAAGTAAGCTCATTTGTTTCCAGTGATACACCTCTGCAACACTTTGTGAACTTCCTTGTGCCCGCGTCTGAAGCTATACACAGATAGATAGGAGAGATGGCTCGAGACGAAATGCCAACCATGAGATTAGATTCTTTGGGGGACGATGACGCAGTGGAGTTGGCAGAATAATATCGGGCAGAGCGAAGGGAGGAAAGGGGAGCGGGGCAAGTGGTGCGAGCCCATCCGACGACGATGATCACCGTTCCTAGGCCTATTAGCCAAGTGAAGCCAGACCACTGGCACACCAAGGTCGACGAGGCAACTGATGCCCAACGCATGGAAAATTATAATGGCCTGTGCCATCACATGGCTACGGGCAACCGAGGGAGTGGCGATGACAGCGGAAGAATTATTTTCTTGCTACAAAGCGTACGGTCAGCAAGAGACGTGGGTGACTTTGCAGGCGGTGGCAGGTAAGGGGTTAGTAGCCGGGCTACCATCGTCCGTAAAGGAATGGAGACCAAGGTGGTTCTACGTGTCAGCAAATGGGGCAGAGGGGGTGCACATGACATGGAAGGTCCCCACGAAGTCGACGGAGCAGAAGTTAAAGGAGGAAGCAGAAAGTAGGGTCAAAAAAGTGAAGTAGTGGAGGGAGAAGGAGGGTGTTAGGTGGGACGACCTGGTCCGTCCTTCAGCTTTACATGCCTTAGGGTTAGGACCGCAGCCGATGAAGAAAGACCCCACAGTAGAGAAATTGGAGGCAAGGTGAAAGGCAGAGGAGGCAGAAGAGCGGAAGACCTTTACCAAAGCCGAAAAGTTTAAGAAGGCATGGTTGGGGCCTGCCCCTAAGCTGGTGATGAGGGAGCAGGTCCGACCGCGTCCCAAGCCGCTAGGTGACAAAGACTTGACTGGCTTCGCCCCACTGCCGCCGCCAGTAGACCCATTGAAGGAAAGGAGTAAGCAGGAGGTGGAGGCAGTGTTGAAGAAGACAAAGAGGAAGAGGAGAGCACTGACAGTAGAGGGGGAAGAAAATGCCCGTCTTAAAGAAAATGAAGGTGGGAAGCAAGGACGCCCCTGTGGTGGAGAAGATAAAGGAGGGGAGGGTGGAGGTAGCTTCAGAGGGAGAAATCGCCCAAGCGTTGAAAGAACATTTGGAGACCGCCCAAGTGGCGAAGGAAGATGAGGGTCCAAGCGCCCAAGTGCTGAAAGAAAACTTAAGCCCAAGTGGCCAAAAGGTGGCGGTGCTTCCTGTACCAAAAGTGACCCCCAGTCCCAGTGAAGGGAAGACTAGGACCAACACTCCGGGTACGAGTGTCGCGCTAACGACTGTGTTGTACCACACGCGCACGCTGGTAGGTCACTCGGCGGACGAAGGGGGAAGAGCCAATGTGGCGGTCGACCGCCTAGTGGGAGTGCTAGAGGACGCTGCCGTGCGGTCAATGGCCTGGTTGGGAGAGGCCGACTTCCTGAAAGGGTTGTGCTCGGCCCAGATAGAGGCAGCGACCCTGGCGGCTGCCCTGTTGAATAAAGCAGCTTGTGCAAAGATGGAGATAGAGCCGCTGAGGGTTCAACTAAAAGGGGTGAAGGGGCAGTTCCAAAAATTATTGGAGGAGACAGCGAGCTGGAAGAAAGCTGCTGGTCAGATTACAGAGTTATAGAAGGCCCTGGCAGAGGAAGGGGCCAAATCGGCGTCTGAGAAGGCAGAATTGGAAAAGGCCCTGACGGACGAGAGGGCTAAGTCGGCGTTTGAGAGGGCAGAGTTGGAGAAGGCCTTGGCAGAGGAGAGGGCCAAGTTGGTGTCTGAGAGAGCACCGTACCCCGACTTGGGTATGGTGGCTGTAGAGCAATTCAAGGGGTTCGCTGACTTCCAGATGACCATTGATGTCGCTGTCGCCAACAGCTTATCGAAGGAGGGTGAGGGAGGCGCTGGGTCGTCGGGGGCGGCCACTGGAGGAAGAAGTGAAGAGGAAGTGATCCAGAGCTTCCAGCGGTCGGACTTCTATAAGCACGAAATGAGCGAGTTCTGGGACAACGGCTGGAAGACCTTCATGCACAAGGCGCAAGAGCTGTTTCTGGACATCGACTTCAGCCTCGTGAAGATAGGAGAAGACGACGTCGTCCAGACCCCCCTGGACGAGGGTATTGAGGAGGAGGATCTGGCCTCTAGTGAGGAGGAGTGATCTATGTAAAAAAATGAGTTTTCTTTTGTATCATTGTTGTCCTTATTTCTTTTGAGTTGTAAATTTGGAATAATGAAAATGGCTGAGCAGAATTCAATGAAAATTGGGTGTGAAAGTAAGACGTTTTGGGATAATGAAAATGGCTGGTAAATTGTGACGTAAAAAAGTTTAAAAATGGGTAACCAAGTTATCTTGCGATAAAAGTATGAAGTAAAAATGTTAAGGATGGGTAGACATGAAAATGTTAAAAATGAGAGTTTGGCCTGTATGTGAAAAATGAGTTAAGAAATATTGTAACATGGACTTGGATTTTGACTAAGTATGCGAACCGTGTGAAAGCTCTACTGGAGTTTTGGCTAAGACTTGGAAAGATCTACCATGGTAAAGTTTTAGTTGACTCAGTCTGGCTGAGCTCGTCGTGCTCAGTCTAGCTGAGTCTTCAATTAACTCAGTCTGGCCAAGCTCTTCGTGCTCAGTCTGGCTAAGGTTTTAATTGACTCAGTCTGGCCGAGCTCTTCGTGCTCAGTCTGGCTGAGGCTTTAATTGACTCAGTCTGGCCGAGCTCTTCGTGCTCAGTCTGGCTGAGCTCTTCGTGCTCAGTCTGGCTGAGGCATTAATTAACTCAGTTTGGCCGAGCTCTTCGTGCTCAGTCTGGCTAATGCGTTAATTAACTCAGTCTAGCTGAGCTCTTCGTGCTCAGTTTGGCTGAGGCGTTAATTAACTCAGTCTGGCCGAGCTCTTCGTGCTCAGTCTGGCTGAGGCTTTAATTGACTCAGTCTGGCCAAGCTCTTTGTGCTCATTCTGGCTGAGGCTTTAACCGACTCAGTCTGGCTGAACTCTTCGTGCTCAATCTGGCTGAGCCTTTAATTAACTCAGTCTGGACGAGCTCTTCGTACATTGATTAACAAGTCGTTATGCAGGTAATGGAGATATAAAGTCATTTGCATTTATGGGGTAACCTACTGATCACAAGTTTACACCACGTATAGAAAGGACAAAAATGAACAAGCATGTAGATCGTAAAAAAGAACATACAACAATTGACCAATACAAAAGTAAGAGACGCTATTTTAGTGGAAATAACACTTCAAGTGCTCGGCGTTCCACGGATGGGGGAGGTCTCTGCCTTCCATGTCTTAGAGTTGGTAGGTGCCTGGGCGAGGTCTGGCTTTAATGACGTAAGGCCCTTCCCATTTGGCGGCGAGCTTGCCCTCAGCGGGATTTTTGGTGGCGAGAGTCGCCTCGCACAAAACTAGGTTCCTAACTACGAACTCCCTCGGTCGAACTTTGCAGTTGTAGTGTGTTCTCATTTTTTGTTGATATGAGGCCCGTCTGACAGCAGCTGTCGCTCGGAGCTCTTCAATTAGGTCTAGGTTAGCCCGACGCAAGTCTTCGGTGAGTTCTGGATCTGGGTGTAGAATCCTCAGGATTGGCAGGCCGATTTCAACTAAGATGACCGCCTCAACACCGTATGTTAAGCGCAAAGGGGTCTCCCCAGTAGGGGTTCGGGCAGCAGTGCGATAGGCCCAAAGTACGTTTGGCAGTTCCTCAGCCCAGAGTCCTTTGGCAACTTCCAACTTAGTTTTGATAATCTTCAAGAGAGAGCGGTTGGTGACCTCGACTTGCCTGTTGGCTCGGGGATGGCCTGGAGAAGAGAAGCACAGCTGAATATGGAGTTCTGCACAAAATTTCCTGAACTTGGCATTGTCGAATTGCTTGCCGTTGTCAGAGATGATGGCTTGGGGGATTCCAAAGCGGCATACGATCGACTGCCAGATGAATCTGGTTGTGTTCTGTTCGGTGATTGTGGCCAGGGGTTCCGCTTCCACCTATTTGGTGAAGTAATCAATGGCGACCACAGCGAACTTGGTTTGGCCCTTACCCGTGGGCAATGGACCAACCAAGGTTATTCCCTATTTGGCAAAGGGGTAGGGGCTGCTGAGCGTAATCAGTTCTGTCGGTAGAGCGTGGGGGATGTTGGCAAAGTGCTGGCACTTATCGCACTTAAGCACGAACTTAGTGGCATCTTGGTTGAGAGTAGGTCAGAAGTAACCAGTGCGGAGTATTTTATAGGCTAGCGACCTGGCACCCGAATGATTACCACATATGCCCTCGTGAACTTCCCTCATCACATAGGTTGCTTGGGAAGGGCTGAGGCACCTTAGGTATGGGCGTGAAAATCCTCGTTTGTTTAGGAGGCCGCTGATGAGGATGTAATTGGACGACCGGGCTCTTACTTTGGTGTCCTGCTGTTTGTCTTCTGGTAACTCTCCACTTGTCAAAAATAGAAGAATGTCCGCTGCCTATGGGATAGGTTCATTTTAGAGGAAGTGGACCTCCAGCTGGGTTGGTGAAGTAGCCGGGTGGGCCACGTATTCAAGGCGAACTCTGTGGCTGAGGTCCGACTGGTCAGCTGAGGCTAATTGGGTCATTTCATCTGCCTTAGAGTTTTCTGACCGAGGGATATGTTTGATGTGGAAAGTGTTGAAAAGGCGAACAAGGGGGAGTGCAATCTCCCTATAGGCTTGCATTGTGTCGTCCTTGGCGTCGAATTCTCCCGTGATTTGTTCGACGATCAGCTGGGAATCGCTGAACACTCGGATATGGCTCACACCAATGTCTCGGTCTAGGCGAAGACCTGCTATCAGGGCCTCATACTCGGCCTCATTGGTGCTTGCGTCAAACAGGAAACGGAGAGCACACTTGAAATAACCACCCTCGGGGACGGTAAGGATGAGACTAGCCCCACTGCATTCTTTGCGGGATGAACCATCGACATTGAGGGTCCAAGAGTGGGGATCTTCTGCTTCAGTGTTGAATTGTTTGGGCGGTGGGGCCGTGGTTGGGGTGGGATTAGTGAATTCCAGGATAAAATCGGCAACAGCCTGTCCTTTGATCGCTGTTCGAGATCGGGAGGAGATTTCAAATTGGTTGAGCTCGACTGACCATTGCATAAGTCTGCCAGATAACTCTGGTTGTTGCATTATCTTCTTCAAATGTTAGTCAGTGAGGACCACTATGGAGTGAGCTTGGAAGTAAGGTCGGAGTCGTCTTGAGGCTATGACCAAGGCTAAGGCCATTTTTTTCCAGCAATGGGTAGTTCTGTTCTGTTCCCCTGAGAGCCCGACTAATGTAATAAACCGAACGCTGTATTGAGCCGTCCTCCCTGATGAGGGCCGCACTGACTGCGGTGCTCGATACGGCTAAATAGAGAAAAGGGGCTCACCCGTGAGCGCCTGAGAGAGTAGGGGGGTTGGCCATGCATCATTTCAATTGTTGGAAAGCCTCTTCGGATTCGGTCGTCTACTCAAAAGCCTGCCGAAGGACTTTAAAAAAGGGAAGGCACTTGTCCGTTGCACGGGAAATAAAACGGTCGAGGGCAGCGACTCTGCCAGTAAGCCTTTGAACCTCTCTAATCGTTCTGGGTGACTGCATTTCTATTAGGGCCTTGATCTTTTCGAGGTTGGCCTCAATACCCCGATGACTGACCATGAAACCCAAGAACTTCCCAGATCCTACGTCGAAGGCGCACTTCTCCGGATTGAGTTTCATTTGATACTTGTGCAAGGTTTCGAAAGTCTCTCGCAGGTCTACCAAATGATTAGAGAAGAGTTTGCTTTTGACAAGCATGTCATCGACGTAGACTTCAATGTTCCGACCTATCTGATGGTGAAAAATGGTATTAACCAACCGTTAGTAGGTGGCGTCGGCGTTCTTCAATCCGAAGGGCATAACACAATAGTGGTAAGTTCCTCTATCCGTGATGAACGAGGTGTGTTCCTGGTCAGCTGGGTGCATGAGAATTTGATTATAGCTAGAGAAGGCGTCCATGAAACTGAGCATCTGGTGCCCGACCGTGGCGTCAACAAGTAGATCTATATGGGGGAGGGGATAGCTATCTTTGAGGCAAGCCCGATTAAGGTCGGTGTAGTCGACACGGAGTCGCCATTTACCGTTGTTCTTACGAACTAGGACCACATTCGACAGCCATCTGAGGTAGTCTACGTTCTGGACAAACCATGTTTCCAGTAACTTGTCTACCTCGGAAGCAATAAGAGCATTGTGCTCTAGGTGAAAGATACGTTGCTTCTAGCGAAAGGGTCAGAAATGGGGCTCGATGCTGAGACGATGAGTGATAAAGGAGGAATTGATACCCAGCATATCGAAATGGGTCTAGGCAAACACATCATTGTGCTCGGTAAGGAGGGCTGTAAGGTCGGCCTTGGCTTGGGGGGATAGTTGGCTACCGATCCTAACTGTTTTTGTTGGGTTGGTGGGGTCGATAAGGACTTCAACAAGTTCTTCCACTAGTTCTCCTCTAACTAACTCATCTTCATCTCTGACGTCGAGTCCTTCAATGATCATAGTCTCTTTCAGCTTGACCTCTTTGAGTGAAGCGACGTAGTATTCTCTGGCTACAGTCTGCTCCCTCCTCATAGTGCCAACTCCGAGGTCGGTGGGAAATTTCATAGCCAGGTGGTACGTGGAAGTGACAACTTGAAAAGCGTTAAGGGCGGTACGGCCAAGGATGATGTTATAGGCAGAGGGACAGTCGACGACGAGGAAAGTGAACAACATAGTAGTCTGCCGTAGGTGCTCTCCAATGGTGATGGGAAGATGGATGGAGCCTATGGAGGTCACCCGATCTCCAGTGATGCCGACCAGTGGGGTTTGGAGAGGAGACAAACTTTCTTCCCTGACTTAGAGTTGGCGATAGGCGTTTAGGAAGATGATGTCTCAAGAGCCACCGTTATCGACAAGCACCCGTCTGACTTTGTAATTGGACAGGAGAGCAAAAATGACAAGGGGGTCGTCATGGGGGTAACGGACGCCTGTGCAATCGACCTCCGTAAAGGTGATGCGTTCCATCCACTGTTTGGGGTGTTTGAAGGGGCGGTCCAATGTCGCAACCTCTTTATTGGCACCCTGCCGGATCTTTCTGAGTTTTGCCCGTTGGGCCAAATGGGATGGTCCACCATATGCCAGCCCGCCAGCAATAACTCTGATCTCGCCAACCGGGGGGGCAAGGTTGCCTGGTTCTTGGGGTTGCTGTGGGGGTCGATCATTGCCTTGGTTGGGTTGTGCAGGTCGTCGAGGAGAGGTGTGCTGGTGGTTGTTTCTGGTAGGTTTGGTCCTTGGCCGTTAGTGAGGTCGGCCCGCCGTGAACCGACTGAGACGTCCCTGGCGTATCAAGCTCTCAACCTAGTCTTTAAGTTTAACACACTCTTCGGTATTGTGGTCGTGGTCTTGATGGAAACGGCAGTATTTAGATTAGTCTCGCCGATTGGAAGGAGACCGCGATGGTTGTGGCCATTTCAGGGGATAATCTCGTTGAATCTGGTTCAGGACTGGTTCTATGGGGGAATTGAGGGGAGTGTACCGTTCGAACCGGCGGAGCGGTCGGGCAGGTGCCGCCCGATCGGCTCGAGAAAGTCGGCCAGTATACTGAGGTGTTTGTTGTGTGTACTGGGTGGCTCTGGTGTTAGAGTCCTTTTTCTTCTCTCTGGGGGTAGGGTTTTTGGTTGTGGAGTCCTATCGGGCGGCTAGGGAATCTTCGGCGTTCATGTATTTTTGGGCTTTAGAGAGGAAGGTTGTTATGGAGGTTGGAGGATTTTTAGAGAGGGAGAAAAGGAAATCGGATGATCGTAGACTGGCCATGAAAGCCGTGAGAATGACCTTGTCATCATTTTCTACCACCTGTAAGGCCTCGGTGTTGAAGCGGATGACGAAGCTACGTAACGACTCCCCCTCCGTCTGACGGATGTTGAGGAGTTGAGTTGTCGGACGCCGCTGGCGCTGGGCACCAATGAAGTGGCTAAGAAATGAGTCACTTAGGTGCTGAAAAGTAGAGACTGAGTCCGTCGGTAGCTGACTAAACCACAGTCGGGCCGACCTCTTAAGAGTTACGGGGAAAGCCCGACAAATGATCCCATCAGGGAATGCATGGAGGATCATGAGGGTCCTGTAAGTCTCTAAGTGGTTGACTGGGTCTGTGGTTCCATCGAAAGAGTCGATCGAGGGCATTTTAAACTTAGGAGGTAGAGGTTTGTCCCTGATGGAGGCAACGAATGGTGAGTTGGCTATGGCAGAGGGCTTATTCTGTATGTTCTGCATGACTCCTTGAAGTTGGAGTTTCATGGCTCAAAGTTCTACATCCTAAAGAGGAGCATTGTCACCGCCGGAATGTAATGGAGGCTGGACACTACTGGCCTCCCCTTCAGGGACAGGTGCTTGGATCGGTGGATGTGGGGCTTGAGGTGGCGGGTTCATATCTTGAGGAGAAGGTCGCAAGCCCTCCAAGTTGGGTGGGTGGGATTGTTGGATGGAATGGCTCAGGGCTCGTTCTCGATTAGACGGGATATCTTGAGGTGGTGGAGGGGGCATAGGAAGGTCTCTTTGAAGAAAAGCATTAATCAGGGCTTGGTTTTGTTCAGCTAAGTGGTTAATGCTGTTGGTGAGCTCTATGAAATATTGTGGCGGGTTGTGTGGGTTATGAGGGTCGCTTGAAGGTCGGCAACGTTGTGTTGAGAAACCATGGATCTAGTTGTGACCATCCACTTTGGTGGGTTGCAAGGTAGGGATTATTGGGAATGGGTCTCCGGCGACAATGAGCACAGTTGCCACGCGGAGCAAAAAGATTCCCACAGACGGCGTCAACTGATGAAACTGCAGTTTCCAGAAGGAATGGGTCGGGTTGATCCACGCTTCCCAAATCGTCATTCGATTGATGATATCTACAGAGAAACCTGCACAAGAGTTCAACGGGAAACGAGGAGTCCCCCAGCGAACCCTCCGACGATCAAGTTAGAGAAGAGAGAGAGTGATCGAATGTAGAGATAGGATGGTGATAGAGAACTTAACCTTTTCTTTGTCTTAGGAGCCTGCTTATATGCTTTGCTCATCATTTCCTTGTCCACTCTGAGCTGTCATGTTGGGCGAAAGTCTATGTTCTAGCTTGCCTTGTTTATGGTGAAGCTGTTCTATTCCGACGTGAAGGGTTATCGTAATAAATGCTGCAGGGAAACTCATTAATGGCTGATGTGTGATGCAATAACTCTGTAGGATCTTTGTCAACTGATGTGGTTGGTTCTTTACTTGCCAAGTGTTTAGATGTCATTGGTGCTTGGTGTAATGTTGGGTTTTAGTATTTGAATCATGGATTGGGCCTAAAGTGGTGGGCCATATCGCTTATGGGCTTACCCATGTCAACACTAGTTACTAAAAACCACTAATTAAACTACTAAAAAATGGGAATTAGTCAACACAATATTTTCTTAAGATAACATATTAAACATCTAATTGATGTTAAAGAACTCCCATTCAAAGAACTACCAACATTTCTTGTCTTAACCTAACTTATAAGATAGTGTTATTAGTCCACCTTATTACTTTATCTGCCATTATTTTAAAAAAATAAAAACCAATAAACCAATTTATTCCTTTTCTTTTAATGGGAGTTGTATGAATTAAAAAATCGTACCGCCACAAAAAATGCCATTAAAATTTAAAAGAAAAAATGCTAATAGAATGTTTAATAGGTGATTATTAGCCTCCATATATATATATATATATAAGTGTAATTGTTGGCTTTTTGGCTTTCGAAGGTTATTATTGTAATTTTGAGCGTGCCAGTAAGGATCAATCAATCCTTACAGAATATTAATTGCAAACCAATTATCAGACGATTGTGTTTTAGTTCTTTCAACCTCAATGAGAGGACTTTTACTGGTGGCTTTGTTTAGGAGAATTAAGCAAACAATGATTAAATAAAGAACAATTGTAGCATTTCATTAAGTAAAATGGAAGACTTACAAATATCCAAATCAGCCTCGTAGAGGTTTACAGCAACAAACTACTTGAAACTACTCCTATGAACAAAGTGTAGTGCAAGAATTTGAAGTACAGAAATGTAAAAACTGGAAGGAAAACAAAGTAGATAAAACTGGTTTTTTTTATTTAAGTCTAGGGGGCCTTTTTGGGACCTTCTCTGATATTTATACTTCTTAATGATAACCGTCGAAATGAGCTTTTAACCGTCGAATCATCCCTCCATGATTGTTGATCATGTTTCCTCACAGTTAGCTCCACTACGCCATGTCTGCAGTTAGGGTTCCCTCATGATTTTTGAATTTAAATATGAGTAACCGTTAGAGCCACGTCATCTTAAACCTCTCTGCTGATCCCATGCTATGTAGATCCACAATAACCAATACTAATTGCCACGTGTATGATTACGATTGAAGATTTGAATTGTCTTCTCGTGTTACCCTCATCCTGCCACGTTGAACTGTGATTGGCTTGTACAAAACATGTAGCCAACATTACCCCCCGCGCTAATATACTTAATACTTGGTGATATTAGTGAATCAAGATATTTTACCCATGTCTTAGAATGTGCATGGGCTTTGCACTTTTCAGAAATGCAACCGTCATTCATCAATAAAACATTTGCATTAAATTCTCTTCTATCCTTTGATCATCCCCACACTATCTCAGTATTCGAAAGGACCGGTACATCTTTCATAGCCAAGCAAGTCTTTTCTTACATTGACCAAGCATACGAAGACTTATTTGATAATGTTGTTCGTCCTCGAAAGAACCTTCATGTATTGATTAGCCACCTTTATCCGCCCCCATTTATACAAGTTATAGAAGCTTTCACAAATCATCGACCTTCGAACCAAGAACCTACTGCTTACGATTCTTTGGAACACAAATTTGAAACCATGGATATCGGAAGCTCTTCTTCTGCAACAAAGCCGTCCGCGTGGGATGATGCTGTTGCTTCTTCTTCTTCTACGACCTCTGGCTGGGGAACTTGGCCTACCCCTAATCAACCTCAGATGAGGGAACGCATTCATCATCATTTCCCTGAATTCGACGACCCTCTTGAAATCCCCCATTCCAAATGCAGCTATGTAGTATATCCATATGTTTCCTATGAACCGTAGACGCAGTCTTGAAGACAATCTGCTTACAGCATGGTATACTTCTACCTTGCCATCTCGAATGGTTCAAAGTGTCCCATGTCCTGATGAAGCTCTAGGGATCAGTCATGCACTTTTAGCCAAAAAAGCAAAACTTTACCCCTCTGATTGGCTAGAATGCGTGGTCAGACCTGAATTTTTGGATTCGCCCAAGGAACCTCTGACTACTCCTCCTTTGCCTTCTAATCCAAATTGGATTGATGAGTTGAGGCTCACTCTTTCTAAGGGCCGATCCTTCCCCCCTTACCGGGTCCTGGCGCCTCCAACTCCTTATCAGCAATTCAGGGCTCAGATCTTGCTTGCTGCATTTTCTCATTTATCCTTTGAAGTCCTTTGAAATGACATTCCCCACAAAAACTTTCTATGGGCTTGTGACATTATATCTCGAAGTCATCTCCTTAACCCTGTGGCCCAAATGGAGCTCTATACCTTTTTAGACCAACTTCCTCTCCTACTCAACTGGCACTTCCATGCTTCCATTACTAGTGAAGTTCTGGATGAAGCCATTTATGCTCGAATCCAGGTTCAGTATGAGGCAGAGAACCTCCTTGATGAATATGAAGCCTTCAAGAGCTAGGATTCTGAGTATGG